CAAATAATGTTCCCACTTTTTTCCTCCAAATGCAGTCACAACAATATGAGCTGTTTAAGTGAGCTAGAAGTTTTCTCGTAATGCGCTTTTTCTTCCAGAGATTGTTGCTCGAGTGGCTGGCGGAACATGTAGTCGCCCGAATCTGTCATGTATTGAAGGCCAGGACTATGTTATCGAAACGATGCGTTTGTGTTGGTCAGAATATCCTGAAAATCGTCCAGATTTCAAGAATGGTGTACGACATAGATTGAAACCCATGTTTGCTGGAATCTACAAAAGGAATATCATGGTAAGTACTACTAATCCCCCCTGGCTCAATGCCGTGATGACAAAGCTGCCGATGAGCAGTACTCTGTGACTCATGGCACATACATCATTATCCCTGGGACGGAGGAGGCGTGGCATTTGGACGTGGCATTGGGTGGGTAACTCGTGGGATATTTCAAATTGAGACAACTGCTATCTTAATCTGTTTTGGACAAAGACATGATCACAACGGCATAATCCAGAATATCTCACGAAGAGCTTAGCCTCCTCCACGCTCAAAGGAAGTACGTAGCCACGCCTGTCGCCTGTCGTCGGGGATTTTGAATCATGTTCCCTCTTCCAACCCCGTTTTCCGAAATCGGTGCTCTGGAATGATGGCTTACAATTATAGATTGTGCTATTGCTTCTTTTTTTGATACAAGAGATGAATGTTCATTTGTACGGATTTTCGTTCGTTACACTGATGTGTTCAGGACCATATGATGGTGATGATGGAAAAATATCAAAATCAACTGGAAGATCTGGTCGATGAACGAACAGCTGAATTGCGTGAGGAACAAAAACGCAGCCAACACTTGTTACAGCGAATGTTGCCCAGGTACAATTTGAACGCCTACTCAAGTTGCGGCTGTGGTTCTCCCTATTTTCCCCGTCGATTCTCGTTTCGTCTGCGTCTCCCAGGTTGACTAGTTTTCTCTGCGCTGTGTCAGTCAAGTCAACTAGCTAACAAATGTTCTAGGCGCGTGGTGCCGCGACTTGGACCTATCATGAATAGCTATAGAAACCAGAAATCCTTCCAAGGTTAAGCGTTCCCTATCAGGACATATTTTATCCATTCCTGAAACACGACTTGTCATTAGGATGTGAAAAAATTGCGCTCCCCAGAGTTCTTCAATTCACCTCTAAAGACGAACATTCAAAACAGAACTTCGTTGGATGAAGAAGATAGGGGGAGAGGGTACACAGGTGCGACTTACAGTCAGGAACAGTAAAGTTGTTGGTTTCTGACTCTCAGGTATATAGCGCGAAGCGTCGAAAATCCGCGAACAAAAAATTCTAAACAAAAGGCGAAATACGACCCCTATTCACCCCACCGTTCAGAGCTTTCTAATGGGAAAAGGTTGTGCTCTGCTTTCAAGG